TAATTCTGTTAATTTCAAGTCTACCTTCATAAAATTCCTCAAACAACAACATAATATCATCTTTCACAGTGTCCCAAAACACTTGATAAAATAATGCAGTAAAACCATCAGGACCAGGGGATTTATCCCCATTCATGTCAAAAATAGCTTTATGAACTTCTTCCACTGTAAAAGGATGTTCAATATCATTAGAACCCCAGTCAGAAAAAGGGAAGAGTTTATGCCAATCAAGTTGACATCTATTAGAAACATTTTGACCATAAATCTGACTATAATGGTTAAAGAAAACCTGAGCAATACCTTCCTCAGAACTAATTTCCACATCGTTAAAAGTAATAGCTGGGATCAAATTACTTCTTTTTCTCCCATTGGCAATTTTATGAAAATATGCAGTGTTCTGATCCCCCTCCTTAAGCCAGTGAGCTTTAGCCCTTTGTTTCCACATTTGTTCTTCTTGAAATAAAATTTCATTCAATTGAGTAGAGATATCATCTTTTTTTAATAATTCATCATCTGTTAAATCTCTGTCTTCCTCTAACACCTCCCATTTCATGAGCTCTTCTAACAAATCTTTTTTCTTCTGCCTAACACTATAGAAATTTAAATGAACCCACTGTTTAATGCACTTTCTCAAAAATCTCAATTTGCCAACTAAATTTTTGGCAGCAGATGTGGATGAAGGAGCACAACTCCACCATAAAGGAACACTCTTAATAAAATCATCAGATTGTAACCAAATCTTCTCAAATCTGAATTTATATGCAAAGTGTTGATTATCCCCACAGTCAAAACTGATGGGGGCATGATCAGATAATTGGCTACATAAGCCTTGTTGTTTTGAAAAGGGGAAAACATCCTCCCACTCAGAGTTGAAAAAAACTCTATCAAGCCTAGCCATAGATGGGAATCTTCTTTTATTTGACCAAGTAAATTTTCTACCATGTAATGGGCTATCAATCAACTCTAAATCATTGAGAACATCATTAAAGATTTCCATTTCCTTTCTATAAATGCTTTTACCTTTTCTATCATTAGGATTAGAGGTAACATTAAAATCCCCTACTACAACCCAAGGACCAGGAAAATTATCTTTAACAGATTTGAGTTCCTGCCAAAAAAGATATCTCTCACTATTACAATGTGGCCCATAGACTGAAGAAACAGTCCAAACAAATTCATTTTTTTTGTTTTGTAAAACCACTGATAAAACATATTTGCCAGGATTCTCTTGTAAACTCTTCCATTTGATGGTATTCCATCCAACCAAAATTCCACCAGAAGTCCCCTCCGCAGGCACACAAGCCCAATCAAACATATTACCCCCTAAACTTTTAAGAACATTATCAGTAATACAATTCAACTTAGTCTCCTGTAAACAAATAATCTCAAATTTGTTTAAAAGACAAAAATCCTTCACCCCAAATCTTTTAGTACTCAATCCTAAACCTCTCACATTCCATGTAATCAACATATCAAACAATTAATCTCTCCCACTGGAAATAAATCCAGATCCTACCCATTGGTAGCTCTCTCAACCTCCATTTGCCTAACTTTTTTTAAAGGATCAAAATCCTCTTGAGGCTCAAGAACAATGGCACATTTAGAGGCAAACTTTTGCAATTGATTATTAGAGCAATTATCAAACAAAATAGGAACAAAAGAAGAACCCAATGAAGAAATTTTATCACCTGGACCACTGGTAGAACCTCCATCATAGTTCTTAGCAATCCTTGATGTAGCTCTGGCCAATGCTGTCATGGGTTCAAGATCAACAAATCTGGAACATCTTCTAACAAAAGATACTTTAGGAAGTGAGTCCTCAGGGGGCAGAGAATTCAAAGGTTGAATCATGGGGATTTCATCTTCTTTCTCTGCATTATCTTCAAAAGATTCTGGAAGAAGGGAAATAGGCCAATTAATTATGTCATGATCTTCATTTAAAATGAGAGCTTTGCCTTTATCTTCAACAATTTTTTCCTCCCCATCAACCCCAGTGAATTCCTCTTTAAAAACACCATCCTGATTCTCAAAATTGTGTGTAAAATCCTCAGAACTGTTCTCTTGTTCACAAAAATCTGCATCTAAAAACATCAATTCTTCCTTATCTGGGAGTTGCTCTTCACCACCTAAATCATCATGCTTATGAGTAAAAACATCAAATCTATTCTCTTGTTGATAAGAATCTACATTCACAGCCAGCACTTCTGCTTTTTCTGTATTTTGCTCTTCATCACCCAATTGAGTCTTATTAGTTACCCAAGGTTCCCAAATAGTTTTTTGTTTTTGATAGAAATTCTTAGCATCTGTCCAGAGCCTGGCAGCAGGAGAACCCCATGGAGAATCTCTCAAATCTTGTCTAACAGTCCAGGATGTATTAGTAGACTCAATATGAGAAGAAGAGCCAGATCCACTGTTATTTCTTCCCTTAAACCATTTGTCATTATATGAGCTCTGAAAAGTGTCTTCCACTTGGTCCACCTTTTGTTTTTTCTTATCACCTTCACTAAAATCACCAATGACAGACATAATAGCTATGTCCACATTATATTGATTTTTTCCCACAAATATTTTTAGCATTTTAGGAATGTCTATATACTCCAAGCATTTCACCAATATAACTGCATCAACAAACTCTGTACAAGCACTTGTAAGAGAGTCAAGTTCCACTAGATCTGCAAAAGGTTTGACCATTAACTCAAAAGATTCCTTATTCCACAAATGTGGAGGAACATTCTTCAATTTAATCCAGACACAGGAGTTTCTTTTTTCCACAACATTTCCTTCCCATGCACTCCACCTCCTGAATTTAATCTTGCATGATCTAAGAGCAATAATTCCCATCTTAATTAGATCTTCCATTTGTTTCCACGGTTGAATTTTCACTAGAACTTCACCATTAGTGAACAATCTAACATCCCAATGTTTATTCAGAGGAAAGAAAGCTCTAAGATCCAGTTCCAATCTTTCTAAAGAAACATTACCACCCTCAACAAATGAAACTATAGCAAAGTTTCTAAACTTTTGAAAGCCAGAATTTACCTCCCCCTCGAAATTGATGACAGCTGCAGAAAAGCGAGGGCGTTCACCAGAGACTTTAAGCTCTGCTTCCAAATCTCCAAAGTCTCTAGGACCTTGATCTTGAAAGTTTAAACAAGATTCTTGCAATTTTTCCTCATCAACAGCAGAAAGAGGTCTTTTCCCTTTATTATGAGGAGGATTATCCGAAGGTCGTTCGATATTTCTTGAAGAAGAAAAGGAGGTTGTCGCTCTCTTCCATTGCCAAGGATTTGAACGTTCAGATCTCCCAGGAAGACCACCCAAGCGTCCACCACTTCCTCTTCCACCAAAAGAATTCCGACCTCCAAAATTACGACCTCGACCTTCAACATTCTGACCACGACCACCACGACCACCATAACCGCGCCCTCTATTCTCAGATCCGTGATTCATCATACCAGATCTACAATTTCTCGCCTCATGACCCAATTCTTGGCATCTGAAACAGATCACAGGATCTCTGCAGTCCTTCGCCATGTGATTTGAACCTCCACAACGAAAACACAATCGATTTCGACGAATAAAATCTGGAGAGAAAAAACGAGGACGAGAAGCAATGGGGAATTTGGGAGGAGGCTGAGATCTAGGGTTTTTTTTCACCACTTTAACCCACTCCCCCTCATCTTCCTTCGTTGATTTGATTTGGTTGTCAACCTCAAAAATCTCAGCCGCTGGATTAAACTCAACCTGAAAATCCTTGTTAACTCTAGTTTCTTTAACCCTAGTTTCCAAAAAACTGGGCTTGGGCTTGGGCTTCAACAAAGAATCAGAAATAAGGGATGGATTGGATTCTCCCCAAATCATTTTTGCCACAAAATTAGTAGTATCAACTGGGCCAATCAACAAATCTGAAGAAACTCTAGATCTATCCATGCTTTTTCTTTCTTTTTCCTATTAACTTTTTTCTCTCTTTTTTTTTTTTCTAAAAAAGAAAAAATCAAACACCTTAGAACTGAGATCAAGAAATCAACAGATCGGAGAAGATCAACGAAATACAAAAATCAAAGATTACCAAAAATCAAAGATTACCCAGAGGAGTTTTTTCCTCCGTCGCCCCTCGCGATTATTTGAGAAAAACTTCTGATCGATTGATCGATCGTTGAGTGCTCGAGAGTGGGAGAGATCGGATTCCTTCTTGTTATGGTCGTTTCTGCTTGTATTTGATATCTTCCATCTTTGTCCACAAACTAGAGTCTGACGCTAGCAAAAGAATCCCGGAATAAGCCTTCTTGTATGTAGCAAATGAGTAGTAGTCATCTGACCTGGGGTGCTGTTGGGCTGGGCATTGACAGAGTAACCGCCCATGTTGGCGCATGTCAAGCGTAGTTACTATATCAAGCAAAAACGAAGCATGCATGGCGGAAGTAATTAGAATTGAAGGACGGATCGATGAAAACATATGTAATCAATTCAACTGTGGATGATTTAATGGATAATAGAGATAAGTTGGGATAAACATGATAGCATGTCACTTAAAAATAATTCAAGCTCTTTTTAGATCAAAGTTAAGCACGTCCAAAGACCCGTTCGCCGTATACTCATATTTCAGTTTGTAAAACAGAAAATGCTCACGAGTTTAAACATACTTAAGCTTAAGTAACTTGCCATTGTTTGTCTTTTTAACGTGAGACTTACCATTGTTTGTCTTTTTAATGTGAGACTCAAATCACATCTCGCGACTTTTGAGTACGCAAGAATCGTGTCAAACGAAATGAAACGAAGTGAAGGAATGCAAGGGAATAAATGAAAGAACGGAATGCTCATTTCCATTCTCGTTTTTTGTATGAACGAATGAAAAGTGGGAATTGTATTTCATTATCCGTCATTCCCACGTACCAACCGGGGCAAAGGGTGCAATTCTAGATTCAGTGTTGGGTATTATCTATGGAATCAAGCTCCACAAACAACAAGGAATAACACAATATATGAATACAAGGGCGAAATTGGAAAAGCACTAATGATTTAATAATTGTAGATCAAAACTTAATACAAACTTTTAGAACAGCTGTTCTCCTTGCACGCAAGAGAATCCTACAAAATCTATCTTAAAATCTATTTATTGTTCTCACCTGAGTTGGGTGTCCAGATCAAGACCAATTGTTTCAAAATTGTATGCTCTGAGCTCTCATTTCGAGATCATAACACACAATGCCGAACCCAATTTTTCCGCTCATTATCCAATATCCATAGCTTTCACTCAGAAGAACAAACAAACAACTATATACGAGCAAAAAACTATGGACAACATCTCAACTATTTACAACATTACTACTAGAACAACAATTAACTGTTAACAAACCTGGCACTTCTTTCTGACAAGCTTTCAGAAAGCAGTAGCAACATCTGCAACTGGCTCTCCGAATGTCCTCAATCCTCAAGCACTAAAAAGCTTCCATATACAAAGCTTCAGGTATTCATTAAAATAGCCCATAACATATAAATTCTCCCTATGTGGTCTCCCGAAACGATTGAGAGCGGGAAAAAGCTGCAGGGTTTGTGTGCAAAACCTCAGACACGTCAGACTTCTGATCCTTGCTATTGTCTGATTTTGACCGGAAAGCTTTGAACATGCCACCTTCATCAGGCTTAATGCCGAGAGTAGCCCATATAGAGCTCTTTGCAGCCTCGTCTGGATCATCAATTCTCAGGGTTTTAGGAATCCACAAAGACTTCTCAGTCTTTTCCTCGGCTTGTAAGCTTGACGAATCTCTAGAATGCTTGCCCAAGGTAGGAGAACCATTGCCTGAACATCCACTGTTACTTGAGGATGATGGAGATAATACACCATTAGAACCAGGCCACGGTACATTCCACGGCCAGAAAGAAGCAGGCACGAAGGGAACTGGAATAGTCGGACCACAGAAAGCAGGTGGAACCAAAGGGCCCCACTGTACTGGATTCCCATTACCAGCCTCTGATCCATTAATGGCAGCAG